ACAGAATGAGCCAAAGATTTGTTGCAATTGACATGATTCTGGTGCAAACAAGTCATCTGGAAGCCAACACTGGAGTCCCCTTTCGCCTTATCAAAGCGTGGGGTCAGGCGGCAAGATTTGGACACAACACTTCTAGACATATCTTTCTTATGAATGAACTCCGGCTTCTTCGACCTTTCACGTGGACGGCCTGTAGGCCCACCACCAGAAGAACCTCTAGAGGAGCATGAGCTAGAGGAGCTGGAACTGGAGCTGCTGTCACTGGAGGATGAGTTTGAAGAGCTGCTTCCAGGCTCGGATGAACCCTGTGCAGGCGACGCCTCATCAGGACCTCTGTCTTTGTCACCCCCAGACTCAACTCCAACAACATGCTTAACACCTTCGGGGCCGTCCTCATCGCCGTCAACACCCCCTTCATTGCTGGGACTTCGAACAGGCGAGCCAATCCCACTAGCAAGAACCGCATCTGTGTCCTCCAGTGCTGGCATGACATGATCATCAGCATCAGCATCAGCTACAGCTCTAACGGCAGCAGCTTTAGCTTTGGCCTTGGGCTTACGTCGTGCCTTCTTCGGTGGAGGCTGTGGCACCTCCCAATCATCTTCATTGATATCACACTGTATCGCTTGGCGTTTTCGTACCGATGGCTTGGGCACAGGCTTTTTCTCTACAAACCCATGACCTTCCAAGATCTTCTGCGCGGTGGCTGAATCAGCAAGGGCAGGAACAGCCTGCATATGTGATTCGGCATGAAGTAAACTAACCAAATAAAGCTTGGATGGAGGCTTGCCGGCTTCGACCCACCAGACTTTATCATCTACACCAGATGTGTAAGATTGTTGCCGGATGGCTTTCCTGTCAGAACTGCTACAGACGCAGCACTTGAAGCCCTTGTCTTCCAAACTCCGAACCAGCTCATAGAGATCCATGTCGGCATAGGGAATGTCTCGGACTTGGAATAAGTGACATGGGCTAACCAACGTTCTGGTCACAACCAAATGGTCTTTAGCATCTTCTGACAACGCATACTTGCCATGACTGCCCTGCACAGCAGTTGCAAGACCAACCTCACACAAGAATTCAAAGCACTCCCGCTGTGCAGCAGAAGCACCTTCCTCCAGACTGAAGCCCTCAGCGCCTGATCCCTGAAGTTTCACAAGCAGCTCTGACATGTCCTTAGGTTGTCTAGGTATTTCGACACCTGCCAGGCGGCTACCTGTGCTTAGAAGCTCCAGGCCAGTTTCGGGCAAGATCTCCCAAACATGAATTTTCATCAAATTTTCAAACGAAAGACTGCTTGGCGAAAACAAAATGGGAATGCTGGGCAGAGAAACACTTTCGGCATCACCGGACTCTGATGTGCTGCTGCAGACGGAGGCTTGCACTCTCAAGGGAGAAGACTCAACCACCCATGAGCGATCAGTAACATCGATGCGGACAGTCCGGAGAACGGAGATAGCAACATCTGTGGCCTGAAAAGCATCTGTCAAGGGAAGTTTACTTTGAGCTGGGTTCAGGCTGACAATCTTAAAAGCAAAGACTTTTGGAAGATTGGGGCTGCCGGGTCTCTGCAACTGCACCAAGGCATCCTTGAAGACATCCTCTAACCGCCTGCCACTCGCCCGAAGCCTATCCAGTACCCCAGCACCAGAATTAAAACCACCAACACCCCGGACCCCAACACCTGAGTCATCTGAGGCAGCGATCAGAGCAGCACCATCACCGCCGCCGCTCCCATCGCCGGTGTTGCGATCTGTTAAAGGAGCCTGGGGCCCAGCAGTGGCGTCTGCCATAGGCACAGCTGGCAAATCCAACAGCGCAGACAACGTGGCTTCAGAAACGTGCACGCTGAAAACTGCATCCTTCTCAGAGCACAACTCTTCAAGTCTGATTTTGAAATGTTCCACTGCTGCTATGTGTAACAACTGGGCAGAATAACTTCCAGCTGTTCCTGCACTTTCACTTTCACCGTCACCAGCTGAGAGCGCTGAAGGAAGGGCCTGCCTGGCTTGACGGCCTCCACCTGGCAATTGCCTCACAACAACCGGCGGACTCAGGCCCTGTGTAGTGGCAGGATCAGAGCGATACACAATTTTGCCGAAGATCGGGTCCCAAGGGTGGGTGACATCAGCACAAGCTGGATGCTGTGCTAGGCCAAGCTCTTGAACAACCAGCTTCGGATTTCGCATGGTCTCCAATGTTCTGCTTAACGCTTCAAAAAAACTAGGATCCCCAAGATTGGTCCTAAGTTGGGGCAGCCTCCTATTCAAGCTGACATAGGCAACTGTGTGGCGGGGAGCTTTGCGAATCAGATGGTGAATCTGGGCATGTTCGCCTTCAATTGCACGCTCCACAGAAAATGCAAAACGCAACTTGGCAACTAACTTGCTCATGGAAGGAAGCTCAGACAGGCTCTCACCCTGAAGAAAGTCTTGGGCCTCTGCAATGACATGTTGTGATTTGAGCTCTGTCATCAGGCCTTCAACATTGTCTGAAGCAAGGCATGACCGAAGAGCTTCACGAGCCTTCTGTTCATCCAGGTGGGCCACTCCAAACAAAAGAAGGGGCGGAACACTTACTGCACTAACTTTCAAAGCTATATTGAAAATTAAGGAAGCCCTGCCCTTTTCAAATTCACCTAGCAAGAGTGCTTGCTTCTCACGGCCCAAATTCGCAGGCATGTTCAACAAGACTTCTGCGGCTGATGTGTCAAGTTGTGCCCGCAACTCGTGCACAAAATCTCCACAAGCAATCTCAGGGGCCCTCCTGCCTCTCATGGGGCATGCTGCGCAAACCCGCTCCCAGGCATTGTCAACACCCGCATCTCGGCTAGGACATCCATGGCATGGACACGCTTCGCTCCATGCGAACATGTGCCGGATGGCTTTGTGCAACTGGTCAAGCACTTTTAAAGAAGCCCACCAAAGGTCGGACTGCACAGCTTCGTCAACAGCCCTGGCCTTCACACTTTGTTCGCTGGCATCATTCCCAGAAGCTCCGAGGAACAGAGGCAAATTCCAACCCCAGCGCAGAGGGCGCTCAATTTGCAACATTTGCTGTGTGGCGAAAGCTATGGTTCCCCACCTTGCAGCATGAACCTTGCCTTGAAAAGCTTCTATCATGGGTCGCAACTGCCTGCCCACAATTGAAGTATCAAAGCAACGCTGACAAAGTCGCTCCCGAGTGTGTGTCTTGCGCAGCAAATCCGCAACAGTAGCTAAAGAACTGACAGCGCCATTCAACTCAGGCAAACCATCCAACATGCGCCTTGCCGCATTGTGCAAAATGTGAAGGATACCTGGCATAGCAAGAGCATTCTCGAAGTGAACAAACTGTTCCGGTTCTGGCCAATCATCTTCATGGCGCTGAGACTCTTCAGGTAGCCATGGTAACAAGTCACGTACCCGAGCCCCTCTGACACGCACAATGTTGAATTCTGTGCCTAAATCAGAAGTACAGGACACAACCTCGGAGGCCAGAGCTGCTAAATTTCCTGAAGACCCTGTTTCCAAGAACAAGGCATGTGCAGTGGCAGCAAACTTATCAGGGAGGCTTGTTCTCCCAGAGCCCAGCACCACAGGAGGTGGGCGTTCCATCACCAAGGTCTGCCTAATGTCACGCTGCAGTGCCTCCTGCTCCAGGATGAAGGCCTCATCGTCTTCATAAGTATGCCTAGTGCGACTTTTGTTTTTCATTACGTCCACTAAGTCAAGGGCATGCTGCAAGTCATCTAAGTAAGCTTTGCAGAGTACGACGAGTTCGTAATCCCTTCCTCCCTGAGGAGAAGAATCTACCATCATCCACCTGACAGAAGCACGATGCTCTTCCCAATCCTTCTGACGTCGCACACGCATCTGCTTCGTAAAAGCAGCATCAAGCAACAAACGCCATCTCCTGATGTGTCCAGGGCTTGGGCTTACATGTTCATCAACCATTTCTAAAAACATGCTACGAAGGGATTTTGGCAAAATCAACATCAAAGCCTGTTTGACAGATTCCTTCAAAGATGCATCCGACTTTAAAAGATTGCATTGAAGAAGTACTTGTATTACAAATGCTGCACGGTAAGGGGTTGATCGAGCGACAGGCTTGTGAGACCCGCTGACAACGTAGCCTGTAGTCACATTTCGAATGGAGGATTGGACTGTGGCAGGATCCAACTCGTCAATCAGCTTCTGCAAACGGCACAGATCATGGTATGCGCTGGCAAGCAAGTCATTACCAGCTCCTGGGGGTCCTGGCGGCTGGACTAGCAGTTCTGAAGCAAACCTTCGCAAATGATCTGCTATCGACCGGAGCATGCCCAGGTCCATTTCGCCATCTGGCTGGGCCTGGTGACCATCTCTGGGCACATGCTGCTGAAAAGCAGCCACTTGGATCCGTGGCATTGGTAAACTTGCTTGCGAGAGCCCGATGCGGCCCCAATTGCAGTACCAAGTGTACTTAGTCGTATTCACTAAGGTGTTAAAATCAGGCAAGAAAAAGCGCTCACACTTGCCAGAGACTACGGACATGATAACATCCTGCGGAAGCCGCAGCAACACAGCAGGCGCATGCTGCCCGCAGATTTCTTGCATATTCTGGTTTTGAAGCAACAAACGATCTGGCTGCCCCTGCTCCATTTCTGTTATCAATCCGTGAGGCCGTGTGTCCGTGAACTGCTGCACTGGCACTGCTTGCGGCAATGAAACAAAATGCTCCACTTTGCACAGCAACAGATGCCCTTCCACATCTTCTGCCGGGCACTGGCGTCGCCAAAAATTGTACTGATCACGTTCGTTCTCGTTCAAGGATAGCAAATGATCGTAGCGGGCATGGAAGGAAAACTTCAACATGCCCACTATTGCTCCCGAGATGCTCTCAGTGTCATTAGCCACAGCTGCCGCTGCGGCTGCATGGCTGCTCAAATCGATTCTGCGACCCTTCAAATGCACGGAGTCTGGCAGGCCGCCAAGCCACGAAATCATATTCATACTGCCCTGCAGCAAAAAGCAGACTGCTGCAACTGCTGCAACCATGAGCAACGCTTAGCACTGCAAGGCCAGGGCCATGGATCACAAGATCGGTCAAGATTCAAGATCGTGCTGATGATGACAGTTCTGTTCGAGTTCCTACTACCGTACTACCTGCTGTGCCTATACCTGGAAAGACGGAGTTAACTACTACCACTACTGCTGCTGCTGCTGCCACTACTACTACTACTATTATTACTACTACTGCTACTCCTACTCCTATTACTACTCCTACTACTGATACTGATTACAAAAAATATTGACAGCTTCAGCCTTCAGCTTGAGCGACAAGACGAAAGACTCACCAGAGATTCGAGTCTAAATCTAAATCTAAGTCAACGTCCTTATGTTCATCTGACTCATCTGCTCGTCATCCTCTGACGAACTGTTTTGATTAAACAATAAAATGAAAAATGTGATGAAAACTCCGCATGCTCTGTTCTGAATTGCTACAGATACGGCGCTGCGCACTCAAGAATTGTTTAGAGTGAATCAGAGTGAATTCAGGTTTGCTTCCTCATGTGTTGTCGCGTCATGTTTGAGCCGCTCTGAACTGAGCCTTTCAGCCTCGGAGAGTTCAGTTTCCTTCTTTAAACCAGTGGTGCAGCATTGGCAGAGTATTAGCAGCACAACGGCACAACAGCAGAACTGAACGCTTGCACATACTGCACATGACATGACTGGCCAAGCTTGGCTTGGCAGGCGCTCTGATAATTGATTCAACACGTCACTCCGAGACACTCCCCCAGGCCCGCCCTGTGGCCCAGCCTCGCCACTTCCACTGCGGACTGTAAAACATAAAAAAAACATTGAAACATCGAAAACCTTAGAGCAACACGACACGACTTCTCATTCAAAACATGTGTACAGTCACCAGGTGCCACGGGCACCAGTTTGATTCGGGTTTCAAAAAAATGGTTGCTGGGTCATGCGATGTGACTCTACTTGAGTCACTGCTCCACTCTCCCTCTGTTCTTGGCTTCAACAGACACGCACAAGTCGTGGCCTTCAAAACCTCCTTCCACTGAACAACCCTGGCATGACTGCTTCTAAAGCTTTGATTTTTATCAAAATGTGTTGGAATATCGGCTAATGTTGGTCGTTAAGGTGTTAAGGCTTGCGTTGGGAGGAATTAAGGGTTTCTTTTTTTTATTCTCCGAAGAGCAAGAAGAAAGTCGCTCACCTACAAAACCGGCCACCGACGCCCCAAGCAAGCGAGCTTGTGGCTTTCATACGCTTTACCAAACATTACCCCTTTGCAGTTTATGGGCCATTATTATATAAACTTTCGGTGGTTTGGGTAAGGCTTTGAAGAGCGTGCTTAGCTTTTCTTTCGCTATACTTGCCTTCAAGGGTCATTAAGAATAAGTGTTGATACGGATTGAAGTGCTTTTCTTCTTTCTTCTCATTTGCTCACTTCGTGTTTCCTTTCTCTTCTTTCAGTCCATTACAAGTGAGCAAAGAGAAGAGAAGACAGAGAACAAAAGCAAGAAGATGGAAACGCGTAGTGGGAAACAACCAACTAATAAAGCAAAGGTAAGGAACGCACGCTTTCCCTTGTTATTTGTTTCAATTTTCTCTTCTCCTTTCCCAGTGCTAAGTTGAAATCAAGCTTTGGGGGTGTCAAGGGTTTAGGGCTTCGGGGGTTCCGGCTCCATACGACGTTTGGAAATAAAACTTATCTCAAGCTGTATGGGTTCCATCTGTTGGATCCTTGGGATACATCACTAGGATTAAAGTTTCGTCGCACTTGGCTACACCATCTTGCGGAGGACGCGGGGTACTTACAAGTGCGTTTTACATGGCCTGGCTAGCGGAGGAATTAATCCACCGGAATAAAAGTATACTACTATAATGTTCCGGACGGAGGGCTTGGTGGAGGAGTCTACGGGGAAAAGGGGTTTGTACCGTGTTCAAGAGCGACATATACCGAGTGCGACGAACTTTCGTCCTGCCGCAGTAGTCTGGATAGGAGGAATTGGGAATTTGATGAGGGAGGACCGGCTTGCGGCTATTGAAGTCTTCGGGTTTGGAGTTTCAGATAGCTTGAAGCTTCTTCGGGGTTTAGGGCTTTAGAGATCTAGGACTTTGGGCTCTACGGCTTGGGCTTAGCGTTCTACGACGTAAACGGCTTAAAGGCTTCGGGGTTGTCCTTCCAGCGTGGTCATATTATTCGTAGAGCCTGGACCCGAAACACCAAAAGATAAGCCCAGACGACAGCAACTGTGGTAAGGAGACTTAAGCATCATTAAGACTCTTAATAAGATCTTGCAGCTTACCTTCTTGCTTCAGGGTCCATGTCTGCCCCTTGCGGTGATGATTGGGTATGCTTGGGGCTGTGAGGTGCATGAACCTGCACGCGAACTGAGCCCAGAGCTTCAAGTATGCCGAGATATGGCGAGTGGGACGGAGATCTTGCTGCGACCAAGTGAAACCCCGTCTGCAACGCTGTTGGCAGCACGAGCTGTACATCTGAATTAGTACCGGGCTACTCGGCCACGTGGGCAGCCGCTCATGCTGGAATCGAGAGAAATGTCCCTTCTGGGCTCACTGTGTCTCCACAGATTTCTGTGTTGCGCCAAGTGGGCCGAGTGGCACCAGAACCAGGACCAAAGGCTCCGTCGTCCATGTCATGACCCGCCACCATGCGCGATAAAAGTACTGGTCACGCAATGCATCCCTCCACCTGGGTTGCTGTTAAGGAGCTTGAATTTATTAAGTTACCCTATAATGGAGATATATAATAAACACTAGGGTTTCCCTATTAAAGGTAGCAACTTAAATTGAGTTCCTCAACAGCAACCCGGTCACATCATACCTCGCGGAGGACGAGGTAGTCGGAACCAATAGCCGACCCGTTGGCCTTCTGCCAGAACAAGGTTGTTCGTCAGCACAAATACCTGATCCAGGCCACAGCCACGCGAGAACACCAATCTCGACCTCCACTGTTCGTTAAACTCTCAATTTTTTAAGCAGGCGGACAAAATGGTTTTAATCTTGTCTGCTTGAACCGGCAAATGCTCACAGTTCCAGAGCAACCGAGACGCCTGTATAGCAGGTGGATTTGTTGGCTGGCTTTTGCCACATTGCGGGATCGTCGAATTGCATTCATCTTGTGCAGCAGTTGATACGGAGAGGAAGTCTTGTTCCAGTTGAACTGCCAAAGGCTGTTCCTGTACGCGGAATTGCCCTGTTCCTGGGCGCGCATCAAGCAACGCCTAAAGCAGGAGCTGGTCCCCGGGTACCCCAACTCAACATCTTAAATCTTGACGCAACACAAACAAAAAATCTTCCACCGCCTAAACTCCCAACTTACAGAATTTGCAACGGGTGAAACCAGCGAAGCTTTAAGTCTGAGGCTAAAACTCCTATCCCTCCTCCTGCGTTCCCTTCGCCTGCCCTTGCCCTAAACCCTAAACCATTAATCCCAGGGGCGTCTCCCCATGTGACTACCGGCATGCCCTTGGCGAACAAGAGCCAGGCCCAGGCGTTCCGCACCAGCACCGGGTACCCAAAACATCCCCCTCCGCCGAAGACTGCGAACCTTTGGTATTCGAGTTGCCGGATTCCAAGCCCTATTGGCCCTAAACCCTAGACTCTATCTCTACAGTCTGTGCTTTACTTCAGTCGAATTCGGACATCCTGGTGCTGAATGCATCTCTCGGGTTAGGACTGGTTTCGTGTACGGGGCGTGAAGCTCGCAGATCTTGACCACAGGGCCTTGTTTAGGGACCCTTGAACACCGAAAATGAGCAAAACAACCTTAACCCTAAACCCCAAACCCCAAACCCCAAACCCTAAACCCCTAAACCCCAAACTCCGATCATGTAAAGACGGCGCACTCCTCCCAGTCTTCGGATCGGCGTGGGAAGATCTCGGCAACCTCGCCACCGCCCGGGATGTGATATTGACCCCAAATGGGTGTCTCATCCTGGCTTCTTCTTGAGGACTTTAACTTTTAAGCTGCTGCCCCCCCCCCCCCCAAAAAAACAGAGATCCACTAGCAAACAATCCCGCTTCCTTCACTATGGTAACTTAAAACTCAACTTGTCGACAAGAACCCAGGATCTTCCCTAAACCCTAAACCCTACTACAGGGGCCTTAATTGTTAGAATATAGGGATCTGGGGCCCGATGTGCCATAATTTATTCTAAGGATCCCCCCCCCCAAAAAAAAACAATAGCGTTGGGCACCTGGTTTAGGCCCCTACATGAAACCCTAAGCCTTAACAAGAGCCCGGGATCTTGGTTGTCCATCATGTTCATGAGCAAGTTCAGATCCTTGTAGAGCCCCGACCTCACCAGATTCGGCTGCAGGTTGGGACTTTCTGGTATATAAACTCTAGGACCTCAGGCGATAGGGTATTGTTAAACGCTTTTATTAGAAATATAGCTGTAGATTCAACTTTAGAAACTGTAGGATGTTAGAGTTGAGGGCCTTTTTCTCATAGCAGAAGTGGGACCTGAGGAGCTTCGCTCAGCCCTGAGGATAAAGCCTCGAAAAGTCTAAGCTCCCATTCGATTTAGGGTTTAGAGTTTAGGGTTTAGGATTTAGGGTTTGAGTTTAGGGTTTAGGGTTTAGGATGTCGGAAGGCCTCTGCTGACGAATCATCTCCGAAGCCAGGTAGGTGAGATCGAACTGAGCCACTGGAGATTTTGGCCCATTTGGCCACCCACAATATCCCGGCATCGCCATGTAGGTTAACGGAAAGTTCTCGAGGCCAGCCAAGACATCCTTTCCGTCTTGTACCTGTGCGGAAAAATGAGGATTCAACACTTGGACATGGACTAATTCCGGCTTTCCACATGATCGTTCCACTGACAATATGTGATAGTGACAGCACCTGTCAAAAAATCATGACCATCCTCGAGAACCAAGACACGACCACGACGATTACGTCTACGGCGACGCTGCGGACACTAGAGTAGCAGGGGGTTTTGCACGAATACCGCAGTAGTCGAGTAATGTGATGCTGCGGACTTGTAAGGCTTAAAACCCTGAGCCCTCAACGCCGCTCTCGTCTGCTCGGCCTGGTAGGAGGCATGAAAGCTGAGGTTTGTGGAGGTCACCTCCCCGAGAATGTGGATCGGATTATCGAGCGCGTGGAGCATCTCCTCTGCGCAATGGAGCTTTGACAAGTACATTGGGGCTTCCGCGGGACTCCCTCAGCTGAAGGCGTTCGGGCTGTATATTTTCCTGATGTCAGCCTCAACTACCTAGCTCCCGGGAAACAGCGACGGGTTAAGCCTTCCAGAGCAAAGTCCCGAAACTCCCGAACGTTAAAACACCACCACAAACACTGGCATCTGAAATGGCCTGGTCCCTTAAACTCCCCGACAAAAAATGCTCCCCCACGTTTCGTAAGGAAACAAACCTAAGGCAATGTTGAAGCGTCCTGAACCTCCTGCAGGAACTCGTGCGTCATGTAAGGCGTTGTGTCCAGACGAATGCCATCTACTGCATACTCTGTGACCTGGACATCTTCATCGAAATAAGTGCTAAGCCCAGACACCCAACACGACTTCGGAGTGATCGCATACATGTTCGAGACAATTTGAACTAGAACTTAAAAAACTTAGAAGAGCAATCAACGAGCAAGCATCCTCGACACCCGAAACCTTTTCAGCGACCACAATGGGTTGCAAGCCGTGGAGCAGTGGTGAAACAAGCAAAACCATGTGCATAAGTAGTTGTAACACTGATGCTGGTGGGAGTGACCCGGTAGTGGTATGCTACCTTAAACCCCTTAATTTATGCTACTATTACGTATGCTTCTATGATTCTAAGCCGACCCTAAACCCCCATACCCTGCATCCAGCTGCCCCAAAACCTATACCTTACATCCTGAGGAGACGCTAAACCCTAAACCTAAAATGGCGTCCATTTCTTTTGTTCGGGGCTTGGTGCCGGGCCCCTGAGCCCGGCACCAGACCCCAAACAACACCAAGTGCCAGTGAGAGAGCCAGTGTCAGTGCTAGTGTTTAGGGTTTAGGTTTATGTGTGGGTGGGGTGGTAATGCAGTGCCAGTGCCCCCCCACTGCTAATGTGCAAGATCGTAGTAGTGCTGGTCATGACGGCTACTACATCCACCGCCACCTCCACCACCGCCACCGCAATCACTAGCACCACCAACACGACTATTCTACTATTACTATTACTATTACTATTACTATTACTATTTCTATTACTATTACTATTACTATCACTAATACTAATACTATTACTATTACTATTACTATTACTATTACTATTACTATTACTATTACTATTACTATTGCTACTACTGCTGCTGCTGCTGCTGCTGCCTCTGCTGCTGCTGCTGCTACTACTACTACTACTACTACCACCACCACTGCCACTACAACTACGACGATGACGACCACGACTACGACCACACCTTCAAAAGGCGACCACGACTACGACGACGACTAGCACGATTGCGATTACGACTCTGATGAGCACTTGTATCTCAGCCCGATGATGGTTGGAAAGGGACCTTTAAAACGCACGCCCCAAGACCCGACTGAGAGCCATGCGGCCCCAACCTTTGACAAGAATATGCTGAGGCCGGGGCCATGTACATCACCCAATCCTTCAAGCCCTGCCGTACGAAAGGAACCGTCTGGTTCAAGTCCGCGAGATCGTAGAACCAGCCGATGATGTTCACGGTCTCGTTGTAGCCGCGACAAATGTAGTTCCCTGCCCCGCAATACTTCAAGTCTGGAGGGCCATGGGCCCTGTCTCCCAAGTAGGTCTGAGCATTGTAAACATTTCCTGGATAGTTGTTGCAGTAGGTGCCATTGTTCGTGCTGTCCTTACTCCACTAAACACCAGGAAGCAATAAGGACCCAACAAACTTACGAGATGACGAAAGCGGCAGATGGGAAGATGCAAGCTTCGGGTGTGCCATTTGGGAAGAACTGCAGTTCACATGACGCTCCTGGTCCCAAGGCTTGTGCTGGCGGAGGCCACCCCGACATCCTCGGCTGTGGGAAATTCCAGCTCAGGCCGGTCTGCTCACCCAGCGGGCACTACAACACATATATGTGCATCAGTGTATATGCAACACAGATGCATGTGACATTATGCATATAAACACCAAGGAATGTGTACTCTCATGTACATCTGGTGAAGAATGACTCTGGTGACGAGCGTCTTCTCAGTGTACTGATCGAAGGTGAGGTTGCTAATGTTCAGCTGATGGACGTACGACGTCACGTTGAAGGGGTTGACTTCACTCAAGTCTCGCTCACTGTGAACGGGGCGGCAGTGATTCAAGACGATGTCAAGGATGAAGCACATCCCCATGTTGTGGGTCTGCTCTACAAGCTCTTTAAGGTCTTCCTTGGTGCCGAAGTTGGGGTCTATCCGGTAGTAATCCTGCGCCCAATAGCCATGGTAGCCCCATCCACTGGGCCCGTCCGGACCATAGAAGTTCAAGACCACCGGAGTGACCCAGATACAGTCAAAACCCATGTCCCTGATGTACTCCAGCTGGCTGGTAATGCCTTTCAGGGTGCCGTTGCACCAGTTATTGCCAGCGCATGGGTTTGAGTCGTTCTGGCTCACCCCGCCGAAGCGAGAGAAACGATCGGTCATGACGAGGTACACTGATTTGCCCCCCAAGTCGTGCAATGTGTAGGGGACATCGTCCGCCTTGAGCGCGCTCCTGGCTCGCTGCCTTTGCAGAAGCTGGCTTTGGTCGGCCTCACAGAGGTCCGCCCCAGCAGCTGCACTGGAGCAAAAGATCAAAAGACTCGCGAAGATTCGGATCATCGTCTGTGCTCGGATCGAGGCAATTTTGGCACTGACTGAGCCGCGGGCACTTGCAGGCAAGGAATCTGGTTCCTAAGTTGTAAACTTCAAGCTGCCAAGCGTAGGGGTGAGGTTGGGCAGACCCAGGGAGGGCTGCAGGGATAGATGGAGTGCCGGGGCTCGGGCTTCGGGAGAAAGTCTAGTAGTGGTGAATGAAGCACAAAACTTAAGGATTGAGGGTCTAGCCTACGTAGTCACATAGTCAACAGGCTGTGAGCTTTGGCCCTCCAGTGCTTGTTTTGCCTTCGCCCACCCATGCAGGCCTTTACCCCTAAACCCTTAACCCTGAACCCCTAAACCCTCCACCCTCAACCCCTAAACCCTAAACCCTAAACCCTGAACCCCTAAATCCTAAACACTCAACCCTCAACCCTAAACCCTTAACGCTCCAAGGCTTCAGCCCTAGAGCCCAAGAGGCTTCATGCACGCCCCCAGATTCATACTCTCCGCGCTGATCGCTGCTGCACTAGGGCTCCTGACATAGGGGCCTTATAATAAATAGAATAGGTTTTCGGGGTATACTATACTTATATTGCTCAGGAACCCCCAAAATAGTATTGGTCACTATTCAGGCCCCTGTCCTAAACTCTGTCCCCAAAGAAATCCGAGAGTCTGAGCTCAATAACACCGCCACACATTCCAAGCATCAAGGTCTAAATCCGAAACCACGCGGACGTCGTAAATCCTCTGCTCTCAACTACCAAAAAAACATCAGTCCCAACTCCTCAAGATCGCACCACGGCCTCGAGACACTGGATCACGATTCGCAGCCTGACGGCACCAAGCAACAGCTTGCGGTTTGAAGGTTTGGAATTATGCGATCCTACCGGGCGCCGCGGGAAACGGGCTGAGGGAAAGCCTAGAGCCTAAACTCTAAACCCCACGCCCATGCACCGAAAATCCTAAATCGCACCGAAACGCACCCCCCAACAAGAACAGCACCGAAACGGCTGCCTTTCTGCAGGAATAGCCAGCCCATGCTCCTCGAACTTCTTCGCCACCATGGCGATCACCTGCCATGGCCCCGAGGCCGAAAGGGCTCTCCGCTCCCGCTACCGAAGTTGAAGACCTTTATGATGACTCTGACGATTGCTATCGTTCGTACCCTTCGTATTTCTAGGTATTGTTCTTGTTATCACACCGAAAAACTGCGGCCTCAAGGCTTTAGGACTTTAGGCTTGAAGCTTCAAACTCCCAGGATCTTTATACCCTCAGCCCTAATCCCGCAATGCTAACGCCTGGTCTCCAAGCAAGATTCGAAGGTTTCAGGGCTCCAAGAGCTTTCGCGGCATTCAAGGACGTCAGGGAACCAGGACGTTGCAAGTCAACGGTCTTGGATATCGCAGTATGCCTCGAAAAAGCCCTAAAGTCTAAACCTACCTCTGAGCCGGAGGGCCGCGGAGGTGCGTAAAGGTCTCTATTGAAATGCCGCGCGCCTGACGAGCAGGGTCCAGTACTTCCACGGTCAAGGCGCTTGCAACCCAACACCCTTACCCCCCTTTTTGTGCTAAACGTCAACAAGTCAGAGTTCGTCGGCAACGCCTTGCCATCGGCATCGAAGACTGGCGAGCCAGACCTGGGATGATTCCACAAATGGCCGGAATAAAACTGAAGGGTGCAGCGCTTCCGGATGTGCTTCGGGGGCTTGTGATGAGCCTTGCCCATGGGCTTCGGCATGTTGCGAGATGCGAGATGGCGTCCTTGCATCCATGGGCTTCGACCTCAAATCCCCGAAGTCACAGACATGTCTTTGCGGATCATCCAGCATCATGCAGGAATGCAGGTAAACAAGGCAACCAGAATATTCCTTCATGGCCCCTGAGTAGCTGTCCATGATTGACCCGAAAAAACCTTCCTCTGATTCTCAGGGCCGTAAATCGAGGGTTTAGGGTGTAGGGTTTAGGGGTACCCAGGCGTTCCCAAACCCATCTCATCTTCACTGCCAGCTTCAGGACACTGACTCGGAGTATCAGGTTGGGATCTTAATCCTGCGCAACCAAGCCCGCAAAAGCCCAAAGCTGAGCCCGAGCCCCTTTAACCTTACAGTGCCTGAGTGTTCTATTGCTATCGCATGCAAAATGCCTTGACCATGGACGGTCACATCTGAAGATCTCGCTTTTAAAGCAAGCGCCCAAGCAAGGGGTCGAATCCCTGCAGGGCCCTGATACTAAAGCCTTGAACCCAAGTTAACGCCCTGACCCTGAATACCGAGGCCCTAATTGAACCCCTAAAGCAAAGCCGTACAGCCCCAACGCCCCATGCCCTGCAGCCAAAACCCTAAGACCGAACGAGCTGAAAGCCAAGATCCCCGGCATACCAGGCAGCGTTGGTAGTGCCAGCTGCACGAAACGCGTCGCTGGATCCTGGGTTTCAGGCTTTTTGATATGTTGCTCCGTGGTGGTCTAGTACGGGGGAGGCCTCCAGGGCTGCGGGTTTGGGCTGCATGGTTTAGGGGCTTAGGGTTTGTGGTTCAGGTTATAGGGCTTTGGGTGTCGGATGGTTTGAGGTTTGGGCTATATAGGCCTTAGGAGTGTCGGGCTCAAGGTTTGGTGTTTCTGTTTAGAACCTTGCGCGAACATGTAACTTGGGGCCTTGAATGTCTGTCATAGATAAAGCAGCTTCGGTGATTACACTTCGTCATACGAATCCCTATTGTAGTCTGCAGACAACTACATCATACTATAATGTATTCCAAAACTCGATTTTGACTCTAACTATTCTGTATAGAGCCCCTTCAACGATCGTGGGCACCCTGTACAGCACCCGTTATAAAACCAAACAGCAAGCGGACACCCCCCAAGTGCTGAGCCGGAGCCCCTTGCATTCGAAGCCATAGATTGCTGAACCCTAAGCCCTATAAACCAAAAGCACAATCCCATATACCCGAAGACATATTAGGGGTTTAGGGTTCTGGGTTTAGGTATGAACCCAGATGACCTAGACCCTAAACCGAATAAACCGCAAACTCTTCCCTGTGCTTTCGGATGCCCAGAACCCCAGCCGGCTGCGTCGGACCGAAGCCCTCAACTCTAAACGGAAGGCGGAATGCGCTAACCTAAATCCAAAGCTTAAACCCCAAACCCTGTAACCATGTTACACTAAACCCTGTAAGCCCTGTAACCAGAATTACGCTAAGCCTAAACCCCGACCAACCTAAAGCCAAAGGCCCTGAGACTTGAAAATTGCAAAGGAGGCGTCCTCTGCTAGACCCCGGAAGCTCTGCCTGAAAGACGCAAGGGTCTTGAAGGGGTTCCTGTTTGGGTTCTGGTTTTTGGGGGTTTGAGGTGTTGGGACTTTAGGGGTTTAGGGGTCTATAAGTTCAGGAATGCGTGCTGGGTGAAGGGGGGGGGGGGGTTTCTTGAGGGGTTTGGGATTTAGGGTCTTGGGGTCTCGGCTTGCAGACGCAGCTATGTGGACATAGCTAATTATACTGCGGTACAAAGTTGTCCACCTCAAGGTGTGTAGCGAAGGGCTCGGAACAGTTCTTCTAGGGGTTCTTAAAGGGTTTCTTTCGGTTCTTTTGAAGGGGCTTGACGAGTGCGAATACGGGTGTTGATAGGCTTCGGCCCCCTCTAAATGCATTTCAAGTGGGTGACATTTTCTAGGGATCTGTATGGGCTTTGGGTTTATGTTTCAGACGTTTTACGACGTTTGGGGTCCCTTCAATGTCACGAAGTGAAGCTTCTCATGATTTCATCAGGGCTTCATAGGGCTTTGCTCTAAGTCAGGGCTCCGAGAAACTGACCGAAGATCCCAATGAAAGGGACTGTGCTGAAGAACAGCATTCTAAGGCTTTGGGATTTCAACTACAAATGTTCCATCATTGTTAGTTTAGGGTTTAGAGTCTAGAGTTTATGAATGATACTACTATTTTCAATCTTGCCCTGAAGATTCCAGTTACAGTAAATAATGATTATTCATGTTCTATATAGATATATCAATGTATCTATATATATTTATATTTGTTTTCGAGAAAACAATACCAATAAACTCATTGATTGCCCGGTACTGTTTTTAGAGCTGCAGTACGAAATTCCACACGGCATCTTTTCATGGCAAGCACAGCTTGTCAGGAACGATCCGCCGGACAGGTCCGAGCTTTGGAGTAGTGGGCCCTGGGCCCCAAAACTTGGGGGCCAAAGCCTGTTGAGTTCAGGGCTTTAGTTTTTTGTTTCTTTCGGCGGGGGGTTATAGGGACTATAAGGCTTAAGCTTTAGGGGGTCAAGGTGCTTCTAGTGAATATCTCCGCGGACTTTGTCAATGGACGGCTTTTTGGGCAGTATCCGGCTCCTTGGCCTTCAACTGCAAAGTAAGGTCGGCTTCGGATTGGAGACCTCAGGATTTCAGGGTAATATATAATACACAATATATAACATATAATATATAACATATATTGTCAGCTACAAGGTCTGGCCATCGGCCTGGGACTTCTGTTGAAGGAGCAAGTCAAGTAAGGCTGAGCGTTCAGGAGCAGGGTATGGCTGAGATCAGCTGGAGAGCTGCCGACACGAACCCAAGCTGCGTGAAAATCACAATCGCACGCCCTTGGTGCAACGAGAGCAGCTGGGTATGGTTCAGGCATTAGGACCCGCAGAGACTGGCACCTCGAATCTACAAAGCCTGCAAAACCCAGATCCAGAGCACGCTTTAGAAACCCCGCCGTTCCGAAGCTTGCACCCAACCCTGCATCCTAAGTTCGGAAACCCAAGTACTGAACGCTGATGCATCATTCCCACATACTGAGACCCACAAGCCAACTCTCTGGCATGGAGTTTCGGGTTCCGATTCCAGCTGTAGGGGTTTGTTAAGATATGAGGGTTTAGGCATTTGGGCACAGGGGGTTTGGGGTTTAGGGCTGGGGTTTACGATCTGCTCGGACTTAGGGTTTAAGCAGGGATGGGACCTTCCTCACTCCAACATGATACATCGGGGGCAAGCTGCGCGGGGGCGGAAGAGGAGGGAGATGGGCGATACTCTTTTTCACTTGCCGCTGCACCGTCCCCCCCCCACCCGGCAAGAGGCATCATGAGCATCATCGGGGGCCCGCTTCTCCAAAAAGACGTCTCTCCTGGAGTCCCGCGTGCAGACGTTCAGCCCGCGTCTGAAACATCTCATGGCCTGGGGGTTGGCTCGAAAACGGAGGGCGGTTTGGGCCAGTTTCTGGGTGGTCCCCCCCCCCCACACCCTATAGCTGATCAGCAAAGCTGCGTCTCAAACGAAAGCTCTATCCACGGAAGGAGTTTTCGTAATTAATGGGATTATGAGCCTCCAGGGTTTAGGGTTTGGAGTTTAAGGGCTTGAGGGTTTAGGGTTGGAAGGGTTTAGAGCTTAAGGGTTTGAGGGTTTAAGCGGTTAGGGTTTAGGGTTTAAAGGTTTAGGGTTTATTGCTCTTGAGAAGGCAGGGGTTGCAAGCTCTATCCATGACAGGTCAGCTCAGTCACCTAATGCTTGGAACCCATCGTTCTGGCAGCATTTCTTACAAAAAGATATGAACGAGCAACATAGCTCCGGAAAATCAATACTGCCCGTGCCGAGGCAGCATCTACCGCTTGAGCGCAAGCCTGATGTTCTTTGAGTTTTCGGCTGTGGGATTTAGAATCAGAACCTTGGGTTCGGGGCTTTAGGGGTTGAGGTGTCAGGCTAGGGGTTTCCGCTAACTAACTGGATTGCCGTAGTTGCGTTCCTAGTCATGCGTAACGTTTCTGGTCATTTACCCCAACATACATGACACAGGGGCAGTAATAATTGCGCATATACTATAGAGCTTTAATCAGGAACCTTACGGATTCAAATTAATTCAGCTTTCCACACCAGGCCATGCCGAAATCGTCTCCCCTCAGGTCTCGGGGGGCACGTTTGGCTGCCATTGGAAAGAGCTCCAGTGCTCCAAGTTGCCACCTGCGCTCCTTTGTTGTAAGCTGGGTCTGTAACTAGTAAACTGCATCCTACACCCTTACCCCGAAGCTCGAACCGTCATGTGGGACGTTTTCGAAATTAAGACTATTTACAAATCCCCCAAAAATAGCACGACACCCGTATGAAAAGGACCCTAAATGGGTCCCTAATTTGGAGAACTACTCATGTAGAGCTTGCGACGAGGATCAAGCCCTCAAGTCTGAGCCCAACCCCCCTTGAAGCTCTAGTATAGAGTTGTGACAAGAATAGCGCAACTATGTATTTATGTCCCCTCATTGCGAGTCCCAGAATAGCTGTGTTCATGTACCGCCAGAATCAATCATCTTAGGCCCTCTATGCTCACACCCCAGAAGAACCCTCAGAAGCCCTCCTGAATTGTTATTCAAGATACTAACGCCCCTAGATTAACCCCTCCACCTTCCATCTCCAAGGCACAAGACAGCGGGACGACCTGGCTCTTCCAAGCCGAACCTTCCCCCTCTTTCGTTCGATGCTTCTTCAGGAAGCGACGGAAAGATGACGGCATCAGAACATCGGCGGTCTCCTCTCAGCCCAGAAAGATTTTGGGGTTTGGGGTTTGGGGCTTCGGGTTTAATCTTCAGGGCCCTAGGATTTACAACCCTGAACCCGAAACCCTAAACTGCAGGGTCCTTGATGACCCTAGGATTTCATATGTTTTGGTATTCAGCATTTCCAGTTCAGGATGGTCTTCTGAGGTTTGATGCCCAAGGGCAGAAGCCAAAGGGGCGACAGCAGCTTCAATTGTGGACTCTCACTTCTCACACGTTTCTGCTTTGGGGGATTAGCTGAATTCCCCTGTCTCTTGAAGTCCTCCTCGTGCTTGGGAGCAGGATCTAAGATCGAGTTCCGATCAACGAAGATGTCGCTCAAGAAGGACTGCTTCCTTCGTCGATGTCTGATTTGCATGGCAAACGACAAACAGCTTTTGTTGCAATACGGTCTAGCTACTACCGAATCTATCGAAAGATATGCAGGTATTGAAGGTGTTGGTGTATGTAGACTTTCGAGTGGGCGCCCTAGCTGTAGTGATGGCAGCTTGACTCATCAGTACTCTTCAGGATTATACTTGTCATTTCTGTTGTGTTGCTCCAGTTGTGACATCCACTATCATCTTTCACCAGTTTGTTGGCCACAGTATGCCGTACTGCAATCCCCGTCTTGGTAAATGTTGGTGTAAGCTCACCGACGTTACTTGTGGTGGACTTGTACTGGCTTCAGCAGCTGAACCTGCTGCCAATTCCGCTATGGTTGCTCGCGCTGCCTCTATCGTTGTTCTTGCTGCTGCTGCTGCTGCTGCCGCCGGCCGGCCGCAGCGCCAGCTGCTTATGTTGCTTCGTTGACGAAACCCAGGTCCGAGAGGTAACTAGAATAGCGACTGTCAGCAATTCGCTGAAGTCTGAGATCGCGGTCAAGCTTGCTGAGTCTCACGCCCTCTGCCGAACCGGAAGCCAAGGCCAGAGCGACTGTGTGTTGCTTCCGCGGCCGCTACCGATGATCATGCTGAAGAAGAAACATATGATGATGCTGTTGAAGAGTGACGGGGATGGTGACGATGACGACGACAATGACGATGACGATGGCGAAGATGGCAATAATCGTGGGTGACGATGATGCTGGTGGCGAAAATCCATGGCATTGCGGAAGCACGGCAAAGCCGCTGCATCGGAGAAGCAGCATGGACAGCCAAGCATCTGCACAGCATCCACGAAGCGGCGAGCATACCTCGCTTGACTCCCGAGACTTCAAATCCAAACCCGAAGCCGGAGTTGCTGAGCCGCGAGCCTGCTGGCAGCACGCTGCGTCTCCCAGTTGTGCCCCAGAGTCGCGCAAAAGCCGTCGGCATCCAAACTGAGGAGCTCGGAGGTGTCTTGCGCTTCCAAATCACCCATATGCACCCAGGGTGCCTCGGTGGCATGCTTGCTTTTGGCGTATGGGGTTTAGGTGTACCCTGAAGCTCAAACTTTAGCCCCGAAGCCCCAACCTGGCGTTCCTGCTTCGGACAACAAGGGGCACTGAATGGTAGGGTTCAGGGCTTTTGGCTTTGGGTGACCGCAATGTCATGTCTGACGTCGGGCCGCTCTTCGCGGCGTTTGCTTACTAATTAGCTCGACCGAAAAGGGAGCTCAGGACAGGCCGGCATTCGCAAGCACTGCCTGAAAAAAAGGCTCTTTCTCGGGCCCCAGCCAGGCGAGAAAGGCGTCACGGGTAGCCGCGTTCGCGCAGGCATACTCGGACAGGGATCGCTGAGCAGCTATTACCGGATCTGCGGTGCCTCCTCCGCTCTCTTCGAAAAAAGTTTGCAAACGGTAAAGTTGCTCGGCCGACACCCACTCACTCAAACAGGGAGGCCGTGGTCCTGGAGTGGTGATTGCTGGGAGGGTGTCTCTCGGCAGAGTGTCGTCCCGGGCCTTGATGGGGCCCTCATTGGTAGCGGAGGTGGAACCTCCACAATGCACACTGTCGTGCATGAGGTGTCTCACGAGCCGTTTGTGCAACCAGAATTCCGTGAGGCACGCCGGGCATCTGGTCCCCGGGGCTAGGGCAGTGAGTAGGCAGCTATGCCTGTGCTGTCCCCACATGTGTGCTCTGACCTTGTGCAGGGAGGGATAGACTTCGTCGCAGCATTCGCATCGAAAGACGGCAGCGTCCCCTTCCTGCGGCGATGTGCTGGGGCCAGGTTCAGGCCGAGCCGGCTTCTGCTGGGAGGCCTTGTGTTTGCCCTTGCGGATCCAGCTTTTGACCTGCCCGGGGAAGGCAGCACTGTGCTCGATGAACTGTTCGACCGTGGAGACACCATGTTGGACCAACAGGTCTCCGACCGTGCTGGCCAGCCATGCGACTGCTGCCTGTGCCTCAGAAAGCCATGAGGGAGTGCTGAGGGCCGCTTCCTCATGTAGGGCTTGGAGGAGGGCCTCCTGGCCTTGAGCGCCTATGGCTCGGAGGTGCTCGAGCTGCAGGAGCCTTCGCTGTGCTGTCGCCTGAGGCCGTCCCGATTCAAAGCAAAGGACCGGAGCATCTGGAAAGCGTGGAGAGCCATCTACAATCCGGGGCTTGTGAAGAGCCCGGTATAGATGGGCAAGGCCTTGTTCCCAGAGCTCTGTTTCGGCCTGGGTGAGATCGTGCCATATCGCAACCCCATACGTAGCACGTGTCATGGCCAGCGTGTCTAGCAGAGTCGCCCTATCCGCTAGTGGGACTGTTTGTCGCCGGAACACTTGCTTGTGCGGCCGCAAATTTTTGGCGCAGATCTTGTCTGGCTTTACCGGTCGCGCGAAGCAGCGTGCCAAGGTGCTTGTATTGGGTGACGCATGTCAGGGAGACTTTGGGGACCGTTGGCAGAGGAAGCTGTGCTTGCCCCGATCGAAAGAGACTTTGCTTGACTTTCCTGGCCCCTTCTCCGTGCAACACCACCAGCAGTTCAGTCTTGCCCTTGTCGTAGTTAGGCTCCATCCCGCGGTTCTTGCACTCATTGTGGAGGGTGGCGGCAACATGAGATGACAACGCGAGGAGCCGAGGAGCGGCTGCCTGGATGGGCAGTGCAACATCATCGGCCCAGGTGGGTAGCTGTTGGTCTGGGATCCCATCTGCCGCAAGCGAGGCGCGCACAGCTCTGTGCATGTCAGCAACCGCAAGCCCGAACAACACATCGGAGATGGAGTCGCCCGGGCGAGATCCAATCCGGGTGCGTGTGATGGTCTCCGAGCCATCCACCACAAAATATGTTGCATGGAAGGAGCAGGCCAGCACCTTGCGAAAATGCTGGCTGGTGTTGCGGAGTAGGCCACCTGAGCTGGCAAATTTGGCGACCTCTTCCACATGATCGGGGGAAATGCCCATTCGATCCATAATCAGGCACAGCTCCTGATCATTAGAGATCTCGCCGGTGACAGCCTGCCTGATCAGCCGGTAGTAGGCAGCTCGGAGGTCGAGGAACAGGACTGCTGCTGCTTCTTTTTTGTGGCGGGCGATGCGAAGGCGGGTACTGAGCAGGTGAGTGAGTGCAGTGGGTCCACTGCCCGGCACACAGCCCTGGAGTAGGGGTAAGTTGCTGCTCTGTAGCTCAGCCACCAGCCGACTGCGGTGAAGCCTATGGTAGAACTTGGCCGAGGCGTCGAAGAGCGCAATAGAGCGAAAATGGGCAGCTTGCACCGACTGCCCAAGCTTCTTCAGCATTGCAACCAGCCTGCAGCCGCGATACTGTACTGGCTCTGTCAGCCTGATGTGGCTCTTGAGGTAGATCGGAAGCAGAGCATGTGCAGCTGCTGCCGGATGGCATTTCCAGACACAGCTGGGGACGCCGCTGGGGCCAGGCGCCTTACCGTCGGCGGCTCCTCGTATGATGGCCTCGACCTCTGACAATGTGGGGAGGTCCGGGAGGGAAACCTGGCCGGCCTGCCTGGGCGGATCCTGCTGGGCACAATACTCGGCAACAGTGGTGGCTTCTCCCGCCTCTTGCTCTTGAAAGTGCTTTCGGTGGACCTCCTGTTGATCGGCGTGAGTGGCAACCACATTGCCCGCCTCGTCCTGAAGCACGGTGGCGGGGCCAAAGGGTTTAAAGACTTTCTTCCCTGCAGGGCGAAAGAAACGCAGTGCAGCATACAAGGCCTGGGCATCCTTGGCGCTGGCAGCTTCTTCGTATTCTTGGGCGAGCTGGGACAGGTATTGGGCCTTTGAGGCTTCGATGCCCCGTCGCAATGCTGGCAGCAGGGCTTCGTATGCAGCAATGGCATCTTCGAGCTGTTGGCCAGCTTCAGCGATTCTAGCACCAGCCTCAGGAGCTCCAGTGTCCTGAGGGTAAGGAGGCCTGTGCTGCCGTTTCCAGGCACGAAAAACAGCGCTTAGTTGCAGACGCCGGTACCTGTCGGCACACCGTCTGATAGTTGCCTTAGCAGCTTTGCGCTCCCTGACCTGTTGCCAGGCAGCATCATTCAAGTACCTGTTGACGGGACGGCGCTGCTTGGGGGCTTTGGCTGCTTCGGTCCAGAGGAGGTTGTCAAGACAGCTCACCTGCTCGTGTATATTGGCATTCCAGGGCGTTTGGGCTGCCTGTGAAAAAACCTCGGTAAAGTTGCAACTCGATTCCATCACATCTTGGACCCTCTTGAAGGGGAGCCTAGGATATGTGAGGGAATTGGCACGGTCGCCTTGGGCACGGAGGCGAAGGCTTGTCAGCACGGGCACATGGTCATCGGGTCCTCCAGTTTCAAAGGTATGCCAGACACCGCGTGTTTCGACAGCTGCTACACAAGGCTGCGGCAGGATGGTGTAGTCGATGCGGTATCTAGCTCCATTCGGTGCTGTCCAGGTGAATGCATCAGCATCAACCTGCTTGGTCGTGCCGTCCGCCCCACAAAAGGTGGTGGGGAGAGCAAGGCAGTGAGCATCGCAGACTTCTCGTAGGCAGGTGCCATTTGGAGTCTCTTCGTCAGCTGCATGGGAGCCGATGGCAGGGCTCTCAATGGCACCGACCTGGGCATTGGCGTCAATGCCTGCAAGGAGAGGAATGCTGCCTGTGTAGTGCTTTCTGAGAAGGCTTCTCAGTCCCTCCCACCAGGCCTCTCTTTCTGGAGCCGGGGCACCAGAATGGGGAGCATGGGCCGAGAGCAACAGGCAATCCAGCTGAGCAGTGCAGAGTCGGGCAAGCAAGATTCGGTGATCCTCGTGAAGCACTTTAATGTGGCTGGCCTTAACTTTGCAGTTTGGCAGGACGACCGCAACCCATATTGCACAGCCTCCTTGCCCGTGTTTTGCAGCGCTGCTGACGGTGATGTAGTCGGCTGCGGTGCATATGCTGCTGGTCCTCACCCTGGTTTCTTGGAGGAATGCAATGTGGACACCTTTGGCCTTGAACTGGGTGCGGCACAGCTCTTTCTTTTTGTGCATCGACTGCGCATTATAGGTGCACAGGAGAAGCGCTTTGTGTTCCGTCTTCCCTCCCCCTGTGGCAGGTGTCGGGAGAGGGAAACAGTGCTCTGGCACAGGGTCTGCCGGCTCGTACGCATGGTGCCGCAGCTGTTCGAGCTGTGGCAGCGCAGGTGACGGTTGCAGTGCGTGCCACAGCCACGGAAGCCCTGAGTGTTTTACCAACCCAAAGAAAGCATCTGGCAGTGGGGGCATGCTCAAGGCTCGAGCGTGTTTTGCAATTTGATCTGCAAGTTCGTTCCCCGGCACTCCTTGGTGACTGGCGACCCAATGGAGCTGCTTTGGGACTTCGCGCCTTTCAAGCAGTTGCCAGAGGTGGCGGCAGGACTTTAACAGCTGTGCCGTGCGGCCGGCTTGGTGCAGATCTGCATGGCCTTGGGCAACGCGAACAGCAGTCTCACAATCGCTCCAGATGTGCACTGGAACGTTGGAGGGCCAGGCGGCGGCCCAGGCTGTGGCGACGGTGAGCACAGCGGCCTCTGCGTCTATGTTGTGTTCGGCCGCGCCGGCTGCGCACTGTGCAAATGCCTGACAGGAACCTGCGAAGCACCCTAGGAAGTTCTCCCAGTAATGCTCGCCATCGGTGCAAAGCTCGAAAACTGCAACGGCCCAGCCAGGCATCTTAGTCCCTCCTGCAGATCCATCAGTATAGACATGGATGGCTTGAGGAGGCCAGCGCCCAGGAGGCTCCCTGTCGTTGAGGAGTCTGCGGGCAGGGCCGGTAAATGCCCCGGGCGGCGTGCGTTGCCAGGCTGTCTCCCACGCCGAAAGGGGAGGGATTTCAGGGATTACTTCAGAGCTCTGGCTGTCGCAGTTACGTGCGGCGGGATCGCCGACTGTTCCAGCAAACGCTCCGTTGGGCACGTGCTGTCTATGCGGCGGCTGGAGGAGCGTAGCCAAACTGAGCACGGCCTGAGACTCTTCATTGTCATTGCCGGGCTTCTGGCTTGGCACTTCCGGAATACTCAGCTTGCGCCTGCCT